TAGTTTATAATCTCCCTTCCTTAAGTCAAGGGAAAATACCTTAAGCCCAAAGAAAAGAAAACATTAGATGGATCTAATTCTAAGCAGTATCATTTACAGAAATCTGCCCATAAGCACTGAAACTAAAAGTTGCAGCTGTATATACACAGATAGAGTTAGGCAGAGATAAAATTAAGGAAAAACATAGAAAGCAGAGTAGTTTTTTAAACAAGATTTTGCAGACACTAGCTGCTACAAAGCTGTTTAGAATAACGTAATTATGTATGTCTTAAAGGTTGCTAAAAAAGGGGGGGGAGAAATGCTTGCTGTTCCTATAGTTAATTAAATGAGTCACATTTTAAAAACCTGTATGATACAATAGCTTAGATGCTTAGATGTTTTTAACACTGAGCACTCACATACCGCGAACAACGGAAATCCATATTTGCAATCCCCGGTATCAGTTTGAATGGTAGCTTTGTAATATGGACAAATGCCCATTTGAGGCTGAGCTGACACGAGCAACACTGCTTAGGCCCAGCAGAAGCCTACTGTTGTGCCAGTGAATAGAATGAATCTATTAAAGAAATCTCAGGTGGGAATTTATGTAGCAAACCTTATTGGAAATGTACTGTCATCTCTTTTCGGTGTGAGTGCGACTTAGGGAGAAAAGAAGGCAAACGGAATTCCCATGAGGAGAATGAAAGCCCGTAAAGATGGAAGCTTTTAAAAACTAAGCATTTCATAAAAATGCTCGGTGTTGGCACATTGCAAAAATTTATGTTTTAATTGCAAATTCGAGGCAGAAACTATTTTTTTAAAAAAGTAACATACAGTCTAAGGTAGGGATGTCAAACACAAGGACCGCAGGCCGGGTGCAGCCCATAGGGTACTTAAATCTGGCCTGCGGGGCCGGCCTTGAAATAGCCCATGGTGCCTCTGGCAGCCAAAATGGGGTGTGGGGGGGTGCATGCGGCCTCCATGCCGCCCATTTTTGGCCTGGATGGCCTCCTGCAGTACTTTGCCAGCCAAAACGGAGCACAGGGGGGGGCGCACAGTCCTCCTGTGACCTGTTTTGGCCAGAAAAGTGCTGCAGGAGGTGTTCATCTCATCTTCCCCTCCCCTCCCCTCCGGCTGGCCTGAGGAGAACTACAATGCTGATCCAGCCCTTGAAGAAATCCCGTTTGACACCCCTGGTCTAAGGTTTTCATTCTCTTTTTAAATATGTACATAATAGGCAGTGGTGGAATTCAAATTTTTTTACTACCAGTTCTGTGGGCGTGGCTTGGTGGGTGTGACAAGGGAAGGATACCACAAAATCTCCATTCCCATCCCACTCTGGGGCCAGCCAGAGGTGGTATTTGCCGGTTCTCCGAACTACTCAAAATTTCCGCTACCGGTTCTCCAGAACCTGTCAGAACCTGCTGAACAGCACCCCTGCTTATAGGTTGTTCCACAATACTCTCCATTAATCTGTGGTCCCATTATTAACTGAGAGCAGAATGCTTGGGCATGTTGTGGCCCCGCCCTCTGAGCCTATCTCATCGGAGGAAGAAGGCTCCGAACATGAAGAAGAGGAGTCGGCCAGGCCTCCCTCTCCAGGCCCCGCCCCTCTGGCACTGGCTCAAGTGCCGGCCGAGGAAGAGGAGATTAGCCAGGAGCCAGGTGTCTCCGATGAGAGCGAGGGAGGTGATCTGTCGTTCCTGGATCCACGCCAACGAAGGCATGATAAACGGTTGCAGCAGTTAAGGAGGCGTGCCAGGGATTATAACTGAGTCACTGGACCACACCCCAGAGACTATATAAGAGAGTGTGGTGGCTGTTTAAGACTCTGTGACGAACAAAAACTAACTCTGGCTAGTCACTTGAACAACGCCTAAATCTGCCGAAGGTTCCTTGTTTTGAACTGGACCATTTGCAATTTGTATGTATTTTCTGTTTATCTGATGAAGTAAAGCCCTTGGCAGTCGATACTTGTATAGCTGCCAAGTTTTAGATAACAACCTGTGTGTGTGCCAAGTGCTTTCTTAACCCTCGGCTGGCTGTGTTTGTGTGTGTGTGGAGACGGGGACAGAACAGGGCATGCTCTCATTCCCTTGAAATCTGTAGAGCTCAGCCTTCAAGACTAAAGATGCAGTTCTGGAAGAAATGTAGCGAGCAATAACACATCAGCTAGGAAGATACACGTGTTACTTCTCCTTCCTCACTAAATAATAATTTAGATTTTTATAGACGATAAAGTCATGCTTATTTGAACAGCCTTGGTTCCTGAATTCTTGTGCCTGATAGACAATTTCTTCTCACTTCTATCTTCTGTAAATACATATAAGTTTGCAAATTTTGCTACCTACATTTCTATTTGTATGGAATTTAAGAACAATTCACCTCATCCCAATTGACAACTAAATTATTATTGCTAAATCTATGAAAAATAAAAATCTAATGTTTTCTATGACTTAGAAAGTACAGGAGAACATTGGAAGGAGTCTTAGAATCTGGATCACAGAATATTTTGGTCAGTTTGTTCTAGGAGTCAATGTTTTACAGAGGACTCCCAGATTAATCTTTAGCCCAAGGACAACTCAGTGATATATGGCCTGTAAAGCTGTTTGCAATAATTGCATTTTTGGCAGTTTTTTTTTTCGAATACTGGGACTTACAGTTTTCAGCAAAACTGCTGAAAGTGAACCACTGGCTCACTTAGCAATCCCAGCGTTCACTTTATGACCCCCGCATTCACTTAATCTGTTTTTTGACCATCATAACATTTGATCATAATTGGCAGACTCCATTACAGTTATATGTCAAGGACTATCTGCATTGTAAAGTCTGAGAGCCTCTTAATTTATGAGATTGTGCAGAAGTGGTCATCAACAGATTAAGAATATGGCGTCATCTTTTATTGCACTATTATTTCTGACACAGGAGAGGCTGTTTTGGTTCTGGGTCAACGTTTGGATGCAATGGCCAGCAGGATGGAAACTGATCTGATGCTGATCAGTTGTTGCTGAATCTATATAACAGCCTACGGATAGGTTGCTTCCAGATGTAGAAAACACTTGCAGATCTGCATTCCCATAGGAATCGATACATCACTTAGCTATATTCATGGATCTAGCAGAGTCACTAAAAGCCTAATTGACAAAGTCCTTCAGTTCATAAAACAATTATGTCTCCCCCTGGATAGGGGACAGCTTAGGCAATTGATACATGCCCTGATAACCTCAGTTTTTAATTACCGTAATTTATTCTGTGTAGGGCTGTCAATATGATGGAAAGCTGGGCTAATGCAACATTGAGCAAGTTACTGCCACTGCAATATAATGTTATTTTAAGAATTTTACTGGCTGCCACTTTGCCACCAGGTCAGGTATAAGGTTGTAGTATTAACCTATTTAAGGCTAAATATGCTCAATCTGCCCAATGCAATCATCTTCAGATGATGCCTGTAGCTATTTCATCTGATGCCATGCAGAAAAATACATTATCAGAGGTAGCTTTCGTTTTTAGAATCTTGGTTGGTCAGAAATAAAGCAAATAATTCAGGGTAAGTTGTTTAAGTTTTTTTTTTAAATCACCTTGACATTTACAATTTCATAATTGTATTCTTGTGCAACCTGTGACCATTTTCGCAAGACAAAATATATTTTATAATGTATTGAATTTATTTTAAAATGCTAGACACCAGGTAGATTTTTTAAAGACATAAGTACTCTTGATCTTTAGTTCACCATTCTACTCAACTGAGTTCTCAAGTAAGCTTACAATAATTTTTAAAAATACAAAAATTTTAAAAATAGAGTAAAGGTAATATTGAAGTAAATTAAAAAATATTAATTGAGACATTACTGAACAGATGTGAGAAAGCTACATTAATTTGATTTTACTTGACCTTTTATGATAATAAAGTATCCCTTGAAGACCTGTGCAGTCCTACCAGCCATGATTTCAGAAACAATCACTAATAATTAGAAATACATCAATGCATATGATAGAATATCTAACAGTCCCCTTCAACTTTACCTGAATTCCTGATAATGTTAAGGGTTGGATTGTGGATTTTTGTTGGCAGAAGTATGGAAGTGGTTTTTAATTCTTCCAGGATGTTTTTTAGATTTCTCAGTCTAAGCCACAATCCTGGAACTTCTTAGCAATGTCACTTCCCTATATTAGCTGGGTCTGCCAAGCCTAAGCAAGGTAGGACAAATACCACACCTGCTCAGATATCACATTCTAGCAAGACCCAACCTAAGAGGGAATTCATCTTAACATTCCCACACATATGGAGTCGTTGGTGCTCTCTGAATTCTGTTGCTTGCTTACCAATGTTTCATTACCCAACTAGGCAATATCATCAGTCATCAGACTCACATTGATAATATACCTAGTTGAATAGGAAACATTGGCAAGCAAACAACTAAGTCAGATAGCACCAAGGACTCCATAGTTCAACCCTGAGCTACACATATTCTCTTCTATTGATTCCCACACATGCTGAACTTCTTACTTTTTAATAATAGAATTTAAATAATAGAATTCTCAGTCGAAAACCAACACTGATGAGGTCTTTGGATATCTGATCTTGGAAACTAATGAATTAGTGGGCATAATTAAGATTCTAATGCAATTCAACCCTAAATAACATTTAAGAGTTATTAGACTAGGAAGATTCATGTGTTAATTATCCAGAAAATAAAATATTCCAACATTATTTTTAGAGTCAATACCAAATAAAATTGCAGCTTGCTACAATCTTTATAATTAGCCTATGAACAAATACATACAATGAAATACACAAAACATGAAAGTATGCTTATTATAAAGGAATACATTTATCAAACATTTATCAAACCAAATAAAAATGGCAAAAGAGGATTTATAGAATACATTTTGACTGAATTCTAGAGGAGGAACCAGACAGATATTCATATTTTGGAACCATACCAAGCATTTAACATTTTTAAAACATTTCTTTACAATTAAAGACGTTCTGAGCTGTACAAGAAGAGTTCATTACTTACCTCAAATGTGTTACCAGTTTCATCAATCTCTGGTGGGACAAAAGCTCCTTCTGGATCATCTTTAAAAAAAAATTCATATTAAAAGATTAAAACCTTTTTAAAAAAGAGCCCTGGTAGCGCAGCAGACTAAAGCACTGTTATTAACATCAGCTGCCTGCAATTACTGCAAGTTCAAATCTCACCAGGCTCAAGGTTGACTCAGCCTTCCATCCTTTCTAAGGTAGGTAAAATGAGGACCCAGATTGTGGGGGCAATAAGCTGACTTTGTATAAAATATACAAAAGTATGAAGGCTATTGCTTAACGCATTGTAAGCCGCCCTGAGTCTTTGGAGAAGGGCGGCATATAAATCAATTTTTTTTAAAAAAATCAATTCACGACAGATCAAAAATCAATAAATGGTAATACTTTAGCTTAAGTTTAAAGATGTTGGTTTTTATTCAGAGCGATGAGTGTTCGGATTTTCCTCTTTGTAACATAATCTCTTCTTATAAACCATCTGGAGTCTTTATAATTTTGCAAAACATATAAATGTATGTGATAGATACATTAAATACAATGCTCCAAACCATTTAAAAATAGGTTGAGTCTAATTTCATGTTAAAAATATCTACGTTAGTGAGCAAAGCGAAGTTTTTCAAACATAAAATCTACGACATTTTCTATGTAATACATTATGCAGCTTGGGTGGAATCGCATCAAATTTTTAAATGGAGCATTGGAGAAAGAACTTGCTGTCAATATGTTGATCAAAGAATGTATTTGCATATCAAGTGTCTCAATTATTTTGTTTTAAACATTCAAGTACAATGAAGAGACTATTCATAGCCTTTCAAATCTGCTCAGTTCATGCTTTTTACACATCACAATCGAAGCCATTGCCTCATTAGTAAGAGAGACAATTCTATCAGAACATTTTCCACAGAATGTGTTCCCTTGTCATTTCAACAATTACATTGGGGTGAAACGAAACTTAAAAATGTACTGTTAATGCACTTATGATGAGATTTAGCAGCCTCAATAATGCTGGTATTATTATAAAATAACTGTGTGTGTGCGTTTGTGCGCGCGCATGTGCGTGGGTTAAAAAGCACAGAACAACCTTGTTGAAGCTCTCTGGGGCTGTTCCATTTGTTTAATGTTTAACAAATACTGTCAGTCATATATCAATATATTTCAGAAGAACACCGAGGAATTTGTTTACATTTAACTTCATATCCTTAACATTTATAATGCATCAGTTTCTAGAAGACAATAAGATCTATAAAGTTGAGAGGGGTGGGTGGGGGGAATGAATCTTCCAGAGTTCTAATTCCACTCTGCAAAAATAAATGTCTTGAGATTTAAGAAAGTAACAGCATGACATCCCAGCATTCTCTGTCATCCTCAAATATCCCTAAGAATTACTTAATCAACTACATAAATCTTGAAATACAAAGCTCATGAAAGGATACATGGAAAAATTAGGGAAAGTTTCATTATTCTGGTTCCTGTCCTGCACCACACCAAGATCTTGCCCCAAAAGCAGGACCAGGTAGGAATCAACTTCCCAAAATGGGCAAGTTAGAAACTTGCCTGTGGAAGGATCCAATCAAGAACCAACACCACCAAAACAATCAATCAAGATCAAGCACAAACACAAGCCCTAACCCTAACCAATCAGAAACCAGCCCTCTCCAGCCTGTACCAATAGGAAGCCAGTTTAGCTAAAAACCAATCAGAAGTCAGTGGCTGTAAAGACAAGACTCCTAATCAGTCCCTGTTTGCAAACCACCTTGCCTCTGAAGATGCCAGTCATAGTTGCTGGTGGAACCTCAGGAAGTCTATTATCTGGATCATGGCCATTAATCCCTGAAGCTCAATTTATCACAATTGGGATCAGTGATCTCAACGACCGCAATTCCAGCTCTCAGCTGTAGTTGTTAAGCAATCACAAAGTGACTCAGGAGGTAGGGGAAGCCTGGCACCCACCATCATACATAAACCTGTCATGGACTTCAGACAGCTACAGGGCCAGTGGTGTGCAGAAACATGTCACAGGTTGGGGTCCTCTTCCTGCCCCACCATACCCAGGTCCATTTACCTTTGCCTTTTTCTGCAGTTGCAGAAAAAAACCTTCAGAACAATTGCCTTCCCTAGCTTTCTGGTCAGAACAATAGCAGAAGATATTCCTGGGAAAATCAGTTTGCTAAACTGCCCCACACTTAATAACACATAATCATCATTTTAGCCATGGTCTATCCACTGCAGGATGAAGGCCTCTTCTGCATGTTTTCAATCCATATGGTCCCAAGTTTTCTTTTGCCAATTGGGCCTGCGATACTTGCTGATGTCATCGCTCCATCTTGTTTTAGGTCTCTTTCATTGACTTTTTTTTTTTATCAAGTGGGATCCATTCTATGACTGCCTTAGTCCACCTGCCATCAGTTCTTCTTGCTGTGTGACCATCCCATTTCCATTTCAATTCTTTTACTCTCTTGTTGCTATCATATACTTTTGCTTGTTCTCTAATCCATGTGCAGGTCCTTCTATCTTGTCTTGTAATGCTGAGCATATATCTTTCCTCTTTGTGCCACTCTTAGCTTTTGTATCGATTGTTAGGTTACTGTCCATGTTTCGCTGTCATATGTTAGAGCAGGTAGCACACACTGATCGAAAACCTTTCTCTTCAGGCATAGGGGGAGGTTGTTCTTGAAAATGATGCTTAGCTTGCCAAATGCTTGCCAACCACATTTAACATGCCCTTCAATTTCCTTTATTGTATCACCTTCCATTGAGATCCATTGGCCAAAAGATGTGATCTTCTACATCTACTCCAGATACAAAATATTTTCTCAAGACACATAATATAATACTATCATACTATACACAGATATGTTATAATGCCCCATTATATAAAAGCCTTGATTATAAGTAGAATCAGGTGATGGAATAAAATAAATTACAGAAGCTAAACCTATACCAGATAGACAATAAACTAGAATAATATATAGTCCTCTGAAGCTGATCAGCTGGTCATTTGATTAGAAAATATGACAAGTGAAATGACAGAAGGGAACAAGCACGTGATCTTTAATTAGTTTCTCATACAACTTTAAGGGATATCTCAATAAACAATTACACAAAAGGATGTTGGAAAACAGTATTTACACAATCTGTGGGCATCAGTTTCTTTAATGATACAGTAAGTATTTGCAAGGGACATGGTGGCTCAGTGGCTAAGACGCTGAGCTTGTCGATCAAAAGCTCGGCAGTACAGCGGTTCAAATCCCTAGTGCCGCATAACAGGGTGAGCTCTCGTTACTTGTCCCAGCTTCTGCCAACCTAGCAGTTCGAAAGCACATAAAAATGCAAGTAGAAAAATAGGGACCACCTTTGGTGGGAAGGTAACAGCGTTCCATGCGCCTTTGCCATTTAGTCATGCTGGCCACATGACCACGGAGACATCTTCGGACAGCACTGGCTCTTCGGCTTTGAAATGGAGATGAGCACCTCCCCCTAGAGTTGGGAACGACTAGCACATATGTGCAAAGGGAATCTTTACCTTTTAAGTATTTCCAATTTTTTGACAAATCATGAATGTATGAAAAAATGTTTCCATTAAGTGGCTGCTCATGAGATGTCAGCTTGGCATGGATTTTTGAAATCACATACTCTTCTAATGATCCATCATTCTACAGGAGGTAACACACTATAATTTGTTAGACACCGGGGGAAAAAATCTAGTTCACATAGAATGCTCTGCCTGATCTTATTAATGAGATGTTAATACCAGCATAGGCCCCATGTAACATCCTAGAAAAAAATTATGCATATCCTTCGGAAGTTAATCAGCATGCTCCTGACTGAACAAACACCAGCATTAATTAGGACAAGTAAACAAGAAGCTATCTGTGTAGAGAAACTGTGGAAGGAACTCCAACATAACATATTCATGACAAATTATTCATATCTCCACACACTCAATTTTTCATCAATCAAGTGAGGCTTTAAAAACACTAAATTTTCCAAGCTACAACATGAGGACAGTTCTTAATAAAATAGATATCCAAAGGTAGAACTTCAAAATTATGAATGTTCCCAATATGGTTTTTCAGTTGTGCATTTGTATGCCAGTCTATTAATTTAAATGATTTTAGAATGAACTAGAACACTGTATTAACTGTAAAATGAGCACGGTTTTAAAATTGGGAAGAAGAAATCTATCGATAATTTGTGCTCTGCTGATGATACTGCTCTGACAGCTGAAATACAAATTTTCTGCAAATCCTAGGAATAAAAATCGAGGAATATAGTGGAAAAAAATGAGGTAGATTAAATGTAAAGAAGACTCAACTAATGATAACAGGTTCAGCAAACAGCCTTAGAAAAGGCAGTGAAGATACTGAAGTGATGGATAACCTTTGCCTCTTAGAATCAAGTATTAACAGCAAAAGAAATCGGCAATCAAGAAATATGCCACAGACCAATACTTAACAAGACAAGAATGAAAGCTTTGGAAAAGTTATCTAGATGGTGGGATGTGTCTACTGGAATCATGCAGGAAATGGCTTCTCTGTCGCACTCTATGGAAGCAAAAAGTCGACTTTGAAGTACTAGAATAGAAAGAGAGAGAATTTTGAATGCTTCTCTTTGGGGAAGACTCCTAAGAATACCATGGATAGCCAGGAAAACAATTGGATCATCAAACAAATACAACCCAAATGAGCAGACTCAAATTATCCTATTCAGATGTGAAGATTTCTCTGTTAGTTCTCTGGAGAAGTCTGTAATGCTGGGGAAATTGGAAGGAAGGAGAAAATCAAAGAGTCCAAATTCAGACCATGACTCGGAAGTAGTCGAATAAACAACATCCATACTAATTTGCATCACATAAAAAGGTATTTAAATACCAGTGTTCTGACACACAAGCACATTTCAAAACGCATGGACGATGTCTCCTCGAACAGTGATGAAACATTTGCAAACAAATTGCCAAGCTCGGAGCTCAAACCAACAACGTAACTACCAACCTGAGCTACTAATATTCAAATAAATTTCATTTTAGAATGTAGCTAACCTGCAAAAGAAACCAAACTGGCTTTCCAAATATGATAGGGTTGGAAAAAAGGCAATGAGGATGTAAGTTCATTATAGTTTAAGTCAAGGGTGTCCAAACTTGTCAATTCTAAGACCTGTGAACTTCAACTCCCCGAATTCCCCAATTCTCAGAATTCCTCAATTATGTGAGCTGAAATCCACAAGTCTTAACATTGCCAAAGTTGGACAGCCCTGGTTTAAACTAAGGCCCAAAGACAAAATGCATATCTTAAGTCAGTATTGTAGAGCCAATGAGTAGACAAAGTTACTCTAGCCATATTAGTGCTAAGTGGCTTTCCAATAAAGTTAGAGGAGGTATTTAGAGAGATATCACTATGTATTGCATTGTAATCTACTGGAAGTAATACAATTGCTTTGCTAAAATGGGAATTTGAAAGTTAACGTGAAACATGGTAAAATTTGTCAGGCTGGCATGACAGAAATGAGTACATGGACAAAATTATCTGCTCCATTTATTTTGGGTCACATAGGGAGCTTGAGCAATTTAATATCTTCCAAAGAATATGATGGAAATATTTAAGAAGAAAATAATATATCATACCTGCAATGGGCCCATTGAGACACTTTTCCACTTTGTTTTAATCTAAAATTTTCTCTGAATCCTAAAGAATTTACAAGATCCTTCTTCTATCAAAACCTTCAGGACGTTTCAATTTTTCCCCCCTGTTGCTATCTTTTCAGTATTATCTGGGAAGTCTTGTTTGCCAATTGTTTATATCAGCAGTCCCCAACATTCCCATTTCTGTGGGCTGGTCGGTGGCAGCCGGGAGATGGGCTGGTTCTGCCCAAATGGTGGATGCATGCGCACAACTCTATTTGCACAAATGGAGGGCACGCACACACACCGCTTGCGCAAATGGAGTTTTGCACGCTCTTCCGCTCACCCACAGCTTGTGCAGACCAAGGGCTAGGGACCCCTGGCCTATATTATCTGCTCTTTAATATTTCTATTTCTACTCAACTAAACATGAAACATAGGTACCCATCCACAACCTTCACGGTGGGGCTATTTCTCCCCAATTTTAACCCTTGATCTATTTTCTCCAACATCTTATCAGAGTAAGGTTCTTGGTCCTATTTTCTGGAGCTAAGGTCATAGCCCTTCAACATTCCACTGTGATACAGTGTTCTTTCTGAACTTTTCTGCTAAGTAATAAACATCTCAATACTTCAATACTTTAACAAATTTAAGAATAGCAAACTCCAAAATCTATCTTGAGGTCCCCCCCCCACTGTTTCCCAATATCTTAAATAAAAACATCTATTTATGGTTCAAAACAAACAAGGAAATATTCCCTAGATTTGTACCAGATCACTCCTTGTATTTTTCAGAGATCTGATCTGTTACAATTCTGTTTTTCCCAATACAAAGAGAGCATTTCCTTTTCTTTTAAATTATCTTCTTATATTGTTATGCACAGAGACCCGGATACAAAAATTCCTGGCTTACAAACTACACTAACCTATCAATCTTCCCGTCCATTATGTGGATCTTTTAACTTTTTTTAAAAAAACTCACAACTTTCACTGAAAAGAACCAAGAATAAGGATGGAGTGAAGCTGGTTACAAAGAATGCTGATGCTTCAAAAACTTCCCAAGTATCCTGAAGTTAATTGCAAACTGATTCTTCCCACCATAAAAAGATGAGACACTATGAAAACAGATTCAGATGAAGGTTTCCTTAAAATAGCACCTATGGTGGGACAAAGGGGGAGTCAGAATGAGGAAAGTAGCACCAGGCATTGTGATACAAGTCTCACACCCCTTTTCAAGTGTGTTACTTCTGACAGAAGAAGCAAGCTCCTGAAGATACCCATGGTTCCCTATGAACAGGTTTTGTTCTCTTCACAATCTTCCTTTAGTAAGTAAAGTGAAATTCGAAGAAAGGTGGATTCCTCCAGAGCCATAGGACATGGTGCTTACAGAACCTTGAAGCTTGGCTTCTAGAGATTCGTATAATGTCAATAGGAAAAGCTGTAAGAATATTGGTCCCTGTCCATGGATATCATTCACACTGCCACCCACTGTTATCTACCAAGCTACAATTTCACTTATAAATCTAAAGCATCAGAAATATCAAACATACCTTCCAATTCATTCTTTGACTTATCATCTTGCAACACAACCTACCAGAGTTAATCAAGGTTTCCAAAATGTCACAAATCTCACATAAATTGGCGGGGGTGGGGGGGAGGCAAAAGAAATTATAGCTTCTTTGGCCATATCAAGAAGTTGAAATGTTAGATAGCTTCAAATATGGCGAGTTCTCCATCAATGTACTAACTTTACTTTGGCTTATTTCTCATCTCCCACAATACATTTTGTCGCATAGCCATGCTTTCTTAGCCAATTGGTAATAAATGCACAAAGATTACACCCCTGTTGCATGACCTGCATTGGCTTCCAGTTTTCTTCCGGGTGCAATTCAATGTCCTGATTATTACCTTTAAAGCCCTACATGGCATGGGACCAGATTATCTGAAGCACTGATTCTCCCAGAGAATATCTATCCATCCTACCAGAATGGATAGTGGGGCCACACTCCACGTCCCTTAGGAGGCAGTTCAGTGACTTAATGACGCCGGAGATGGTCTTTGGTCCAGCGGTTTGAGTCCTAGCCCTGTATGGCGGGATGAGCTCCCATCACTTGCCTCAGCTTCTGGAGTTCAAAAGCATGTTATACACGAGTAGATAAATAGGTACACTTCAGTAGGGAGACTAACTGGCACTTCTTGCGGATGGTTAAAATCCTGCTGGTGCTGCATCTTTCCAGTTGTGACACCCGTTTGTGAGGTGGCTTTGGTGGAGGGAGAGGACCCCAGATGACATAGCAGAAAAGCCACTCATCTTTCTTTCTGGTGTAGTTAGCTCATCCTGTGGTGCACCTTGGGACGCGCGCGAGCGTGAATCAAATAGATCTAGCGATGTTAGGCAGCCAAACTACTACTCTGCATTAGCATTGTCCTTTTCTGGCTAATATAACATCACCCTACACTAAAAAGAAAAAGAAAAAAGTAAGAAACTCCAGATTCTTTCCTTTAAATATTGCCATTTTATGGGAATTTTCAAACATACCATTTTTGTGCAGCTCCTGTCCTATGGAACATCCTCTTCCCTGTGATTGACAGATCTCTATTTTCTATCCTTCCAGAAATCACTTAATATCTGGACCTTAAAACCTGGTGAGCCCAGGACGGGATGAGAATGTGGGTGCATCAGAGGCTATCGCACCAGGATTTTCTGTTTTTAGTTTTATCGCTGTTGATTTTTATGCCGCTTGTATTATTTTATCCTATTTTTATAGTGCTTTATTAGTTGCAAGCCACCCAGAGTTGTTTTAAGAGGGGGCAGCTATATAAAAGTTTTAAATGAATAAATAAAATAAATGCACAGAACACACATAAAATCTGTTCACTAAAGGAAAGGGGGGGGTTGTTTTTGCTAGCTTTAGCTTTTTATATATTAAATAATGTATGTTACCACTAGAGCTAGTTAATGTCAGCTTTTCTCCAATTAGAATATATAATGAACACTAAATATATAATCTATCTATATATCCTCTCTTGGCTCTCAGATTCTGTTTTTGTTTAAAAACATTCATATAAAAGCATGGTAGCATTTATTGCATAAAATCATCTGGAAAATACAGACTAGATCAAAGACACAAATTTAGAACCACATTAAATTTAATCTAGTAATCTTTGTTCAATACTATAACACCTACATGAACATACATAGTAGATATAACCTAATTTAGCTTGACGTGAGCTGACATTCATTGTTGCATTTAAGAAATTATGGTTCACACTCTAATTAAAATCCATGTAGAAATCTGACAGAGAGAATATAATGTTTCACTACATTTTCTCAGTAGGATTTTTTTTTTTTACTTTTCAACAAATCGTCTACCAGCCTGCATACTTACCACTGATCTGTTCCATGAAGCATACATTGCCATTGGTGTTAAAAGCCAAAGTGTCAGGAGTAATGCAAAGGGTCTGGAAGACTGTAGAGTGGGCAATGTTCTTCAAAGACTGACTACACTCCAGACAAATAGCCCAAATATCCTGCTCAGTAAGACAGCTATCTTGCAGTGAAAGAACATCAGCGAGCGATACATTCTCCTGCCAAGACAAGAATTCAGAATTACTCCACATTTCAGCACAGTGAACCTGATGAAGCTAGCTCCAGGTAATGCATAATCCACCAACCCAACACTTTTCCAAAAAGTTCAAAGCTTTCTAAGACAAAAACCTAAAAGGTACTTGTATTTCAGGTTGTACCTTCATGGTCAACTGTTCTAAACCTGCTTACTAAATTCTGCTTTGCTGTTTTAGATTTCTTTCCCCTCTCTCTCTCAATATTTCTCTAATTTGTAGCTGCAACCATCTCTAAACTTCCAAGTGCATCTTATTCGGAAGAGTGGATTTGATCAATTATATCAAGCATCACAGTATCAGACCGCAGAAGATTCATAGAACAAAGATCTCATGATCAACACTAGAAACTGACTTCATGCTCTCTCCTTCTTTCTTCCCTTCAAAGATCTTCTTACCAATATAAATATTATTTTTCTACAGGCAAGTGGGAAGAAAAACACATAATCCACCATGGAAATCTAAAGAGGAACCCTAGAGAAAAAAATTCTCTATGACATTTTATTGATTTTTATATCACTTCATTTAACTGCCCTGTGCAGAATCCAGCAGGTTCTTTGATTATTGAGAAGCTGTGGGAAACGAAGCAAATGACGAGATGCTTGGAGCAATAATGAAGAAAAACAATGTGAATGAACATGGTTGCATGCTATATTTGGCAGTGTTTCATGGTGGTAAGAGCAGTGAAACATGTGCACTTCACTATGTTTCCTGCATGTTGAGATTTGTATTTAGAGGCTCTGTCTAAGGTTACACTTTGTCTCTTGGGTAAGAATGAAGATCCACTCCAGAACACATAATAGAATTGCTCATGTTCACTCAGAGATGGATACCAGCTGGGCAAAGTCTAGTAAGATTAACTCAGACAATGTCTTGTGAGACCATCTGAGACTCTTTGAGTTCTTTTGGGAAGACAGAAGACAGAAGATTTAGACAGAGCTCTCTGTGGTATGAACTCTGCCTTCTATAGAGGCAGTTATAACCTACCCGTATCCAATTTTGGCTCTGGATAGCCTCACCCTCCCACAAATGGATTGCGTTCATGACTTGGGGATCCTCTTGAACTCATGATTCCCACTAGAACAGTAGAAGGGGGAGTATGACTCCCGCTTCAATTGGTATTCCAGTTCTAGGCCTCCTTGTATGCCGCTAACGAGTAAGCTGGTTTGGTCGCTCAACAGCAAGACACTGACGAAGCGGGCACAGCAGTGCCTGCATTTTCTGCATCGCATGAAAAAAGTACATCTTCCTCCTGCTGTCCTTGCCACTTTCTATAGAGCGGAATGTCAAACTCGATTTCATTGAGGGCTGCATCGGGGTTGTGTTTCACCTTGCGTTAGGTGTGCAGCCTTCAGTCCAACCGCTCCTTGAACTGTATTGAGCTTTATCTAACTCCTAGCAGGTGCTAACCATTAGTTGAGAAGATTCTTATGGGTAGGCTGTGTTTAGCAATAAATCAATTTAATTGGAACCTCACATGTAGACCTGGTTTTTCTGTGCCTGACAGTTAATATCTTATTGCTTATTAGGATTTAATTATTATTATAAAGTATATGTACATTCTTTACTCATTTCCATGTGTTCTTAATTTATTCTATTTGTTCTGTCCACATTTTTTTTTAAAAAAATTATCTCTAACTGAAAATAAATAAATAAATAATATTATGGTCCCAATGGAACGTTCAAATAAAGAGTCCACACTGCATCCCTAAACACCTGCAAGCATATTTTTTATTAGAAGCCCAATGAATGGAACAATTAGCTCAATCCACAGTGTGCTTGTAAAACATTCTGGCTTCAGTACTACATTTCCTGGCAAGCCTATTTAAGAATGGAAGGCATACTCTCTTGCTAAAAGAATACTGTAGTGCTACAAAGCTAAGCCCCATGGCAAATGCTTTCTCCCTGGTTACAATTCTACTGCTGTAAATATAAATGGTTGTACCATATGGCAAAGGCATAAATGTATAAAAATTCTGTACAGACCATGAAAAAGTAACATTCTCTCCAGTTGAGGGTGGCCATATTCGTGGGAAAGCATTTTAAGCATTAACGGAAGGATAAAAACACACCAGAGTTCCTCTGCTTTTCTGTCCTCAGAAAAAAATAGTGTTCTAACTCAAAAGGAAAGATTTGACTCTAATTTATTTTTAATTGCATAGGTTGACGTCAAAGAACTATATAACTTTTTCAGCAGTTAATTAGCTGAAATGTGTTACTCCTGGATTTTTATATCCTGAACTGAGTTTCAAAGGGAAGAAGTTCCACTGAGCATCCAAATTGAAATTGAAAGATGGGATACAAATTTGTTCAATAAATAAAATGGATTTAATTTCCTACATTGGTTAGGTTAGCAGTTCTATTTGATATCTGCTTGGTTTTGATTTTTAAATGTTGATGTTTTTATTTTCTTCTTGTTTTGCTTTTATTTATGTGAAGCTTTGGCGGCATTCCTCCTGTGGAACAGCTTGAGTACAAATATTTCTTTAAAAGCCTTTTTTTGATTAAGCTTCTGAAAAGTGGTAAAAACTTGGCTCTGAAATAACATTTGGAGGATGTCAGATTTTCTTTTCTGATCCACATCAGCTGGTTAGTGCTATTGTAATTTATATTACTTGTGATTTCTTTGCTGTCTTTTATCTTGACTTCTAGTCTCTGTTTTGAAGCAGAGCAGCATAGAAATACTAGCGATAAATAAAAATAAATAGCACACATTCATTATGGCATCTGGCCATAAATAAATGAATAAACAAAAGAGACATAGCTCTTTCTAAGGATAAGTGGAAAGCAAAAGGTACGTCCCCAGGTGGTTTTTCAGGTGCAATTTAAAGTTGCAATGCAACATTTTGGAAGAGGAATGTAATACTTCCCAAAGGATTACATTTTGGACTAAAGGCCAACCTCGTTCAATCTTCTATTTTCAAAGCGACCAACCAGATTTCTATAGAGATCATACAAGTAGGAGATTAAAGTCCCACAGCAACTACTACGTGTTCCCGTTCTCATAAGCATGCTGTCTGCAAAGCTGGAGGTACTACGGGTAGTTCTCAACTTATAACTGGTTACTTAGTGACCGTTTGAAGGTATGGCAGACAGCCCTCCCCAAATGCAACTTACAACCCGATTCAGAAGTTAATGACCATTGCAGTGTCCCTGTGGTCATGTCCTAAAGACCAACTGCAGGGATGCTTCAGCAGGACACTCCGCCCCCATCTCCTCCCACCGGTACTTGCAGGTCTTGGGCCTGCTTCAAACTCCACTGGACTCGACACCTTCCTCCTCACTCCATATCCCCCAATCCAATGCAGCTGTCCAGAAAATGGCAGCCCCTTCTGGAAAAGTGCCACCTGTCCCAGTAAAGGAGTGACCTGCCCTCCTTCCTTAACCCTGGCTCCGGACATTTTTGAAAGATAAGCGACCAATAGACAACGCAGGGTGATGAGGATGTGGGGCACAGTGAGGTGGGAAACAGGCCTCAGGGGAAGGTAGCAGAGCACGAAGGGACAGGGGAGGCCCCTGAGGCACCCCGTATTTTGTTTAATAACTGCATCAGGAAGAACAGGGATGGAGGGGGGGGGTTCTAAGTGGTAATCATACTTAGATCACTTATGATTGCCACTTTATATCCCTTAACAGCTATCACAATTTCCAACCGTAATGGGCCAGCTCCATTACGGTCATTGGTTGTGGACTCCCTGTATATTAGTTCAACCATGTTACACTCAGTTAAGGATTTAATGATACTTGTAAAGAGACTTTCATTAAGAGGAATATTACCATGGTACTGACGTTATTGTAAACACAGTTTCCCAGGCACATTCTTTAGCAAAACATCCCTTAATATTAGGATGAATCAGAAACCTATGCACAATTCCACTTCAGTCTACTTAATTAGAAGTAATAAATACTTGTTTCAACCAGATACGAGTGAATATAGCACAGAATTCAGATGAGCTGGCAACTAGTAATGGATCAGATAGGACCAGTAGTGGGTTTCAATTTTGGCCGCTACTGGTTTGCTTGTGGGTGCGCACGTGCTTGCATACGCGACCCTTCTGAGACATCCAGGCGGGTGGGCAGAGCCTCCCGCTGCCGCTACCAGTTCGTCCGATCTGGGGTGAACCCACCACTGACAAGGAAGTTAAGGAAACACTGAAGTATGTATGGATTCAGCCCCAGGAGCATGAAAGTCAGCCTTGTTCTTTTTCCCCACTCCGATCATGTCATTGATTCCAATGAGCAGCATTCCAAAGTCAGGCTGGAGAGTAAAAAGTGTTGTTTGAAAGCAGCCCCTTTCTTAAAACATTTTACTAATGTTGCATGAGAAAGACAATACAGCTGAATCATGCCTTTTCGGGTTGTAGGTTTGCAGTCTCTTTACCCACCTGTCCTACAAGAGACAGATTCATGCAATTACAGGTAGTCCTCAACTTACAACAATTCAACTAGTGACCATTCAAAGTTACAACAGCACTGGAAAAAAGTGACCTAGGACCATTTCATAACCATTGCAGCATCCCCATGGTCCTGTGATCAAAATTCAAGACTATTGGCAACTGCCTCACATTTATGACAGCTGCAGTGCTCCGGGATCATGTAATCACTTTTTGTGATCTTCCGACAAGCAAAGTCAATGGATAAATCAGATTCACTTAACAACCATGTTAGTAACTTAACTGCAATGAGTGACTTAACAACTGTGGCAAGAAAGGTCGTAAAATGGGACACACCTCACTTAATTTTGGGCTCAGTTGAGGTCGTAAGTCAAGGACTTCCTGTACTGCATCTTTTTATGACTTAGGCCAGTGTGGTTATCTACTCCCAAAATTCCCCACCCAGCAAGAATTCTGGGAGTCAAAGTCCACACATCTTAAAAGTTGTCAAGGATGAGTAACCCTGACTTAGGTTACAAAGAGATCACTTTTTTGCGCTTGTTTCCAAGTTAGGAAGCATCTGGGAGGGATGCTGTTCCAAGAGACTCCTTGGCAGGTTTATATGCCCTCCCTCTCAGCAGCTCCACACCTAGAATACTGCGTCCAGTTTTGGTCACCACACTCTAAAAAAGATGTTGAGACTCTAGAAAGAGTGCAGAGAAGAGCAACCAAGAT